TCCATCGTCCCAGGTTGCTCTAAGCCCCATCCAAGCTGGCCTTGGACACTTCCAGGGACCCAGAGGCAGCCACAGCTTCTCTAGGAATTCCATCCCAGCCCCTTCCACCCTCACAGGAAAGGATTTCCTCCTAAAATCCCATCTAAATTCACTACTTATGATACCACCATGATTTTTACTTTACATAATTTACAGACATCAAACACTTGGCTGCATGGAGCTCATAAATAGTATTTTTGAACATAAACATACGTTGAGTATCCCCTTAGTAAACACCTCGGTGCTGGTCGCTGAGAAAGCATCTGCTATCAGGTGTAACATTATTCAACACTTCCCAGCCTCTAAACCGGTCCCTTCTAAATGCCTCTTTTGTTTTTCCAGTTTCCCATCACTGCTGCTCGCATTGTTCTCCTTAGGAAAAAAAAATAGAAAAAATGCCACATAATGGTGCATTGTATAGGGAAGGAAAAATCAGCTGTTTGTTAAAGGCCACTGGAATACTGCAGTTCTGGATCGGCCACGAGGTTTGGAGAGGAAAATTTAAATAGACGGGAGCTAATGGTTTCCTTTGTGGGGTCTTTTACAGCAAATTCTACATTAAACGGAGGTGTCTGTAAAACAAACTGGATAATTGAGGAAATTACTGCGGCAAAGTGGAGAGTTTAGGCTAAAGTTTAGCAAAAAGGGAAGAGTAATTGGGGCTGGGAGGGGAATGCTGAGCTGGGTCAGTTTTCATTGCCGAGGGTCACTCTGAGATGTGCCAGTCGTGGACCAGGAGCACCTTCCAACAGGACAAGCTGTGAATTTTAAGCCTAAACCAGCAGAAATGTGTGAAACTGAAAAGGACTCAATTCACATAACAGGCAGTGGAAGGCTTTCCTGGAAGATGATTCAGGCTAGGAAGAAAAACATGTGATAAACCAGTTGATTAGGACACCAAATGACGTCTTTTCTGTCCCAAATGTGACTCGAGGACCTTTGTGTGTCCCTCCCAGCTCAGATCCTCTGTGATCGCACAAATCCCTTTGTGGGGACCATCACCTGTGCTGGCTCTTCTGCTCCCTTCTTGATTTCTTCTTTGATTTTTATCTGGCGACTTGAGGAAAGAAAACAGTGCAAAAATAACTCAGACAAGATATTTCAGAGCGAGCTTTGGAGCCTTTCAAGCCCCCAGGGGAAGGCGATTGATGAATGCCAGGCGGGCAGGGGCATCATTGATGCTCATCTCCATTCACCAAGCCACCCCCAGCGCCACGTCCCCTATTTTGCTGTGTTCCAAACCAGCTGCAGCAGTGCCAGGGGAACAAGCCTTCACTGTCACAGCAGCCAGCAGCTGTCCCCAGCAGCACCCCAACCCCGCTGGCTGGCCCTGGCACCCGAAATCGCTCTGTGTTCATTCAGCTCCGGCCTTTCTCCCCTCTGGCTGCCAGGATTTGGGTTGAAAGGGAGCAGAGAAAGCTGAAATCAGGAGCTTGGGAGGCAGCATGAGCACGGGGGGCTGCTCTGAAGGGAACAGACATGCAGCTGTGGATAATGCAGGCACACACCGAGCGCTCAGCTGCGCTTGCTGAAGGGGACGTGGGCACCTCACAGAGAATTCAGGAGCTTCCTTCTGCTAAGCCATTTTTTTTTTCCAGCAGCAATAATTCTTCCCTTTAAAATCCCCAATTTTCCCTGTGGAAGTCTGGTCTTTAACTCCAGGATTAAGGCAGGAAAGGATTTTTAGAGGAAGAATCACCTTTTTTTTCTCATGTATTTGTGCAGGTTAATGAGGAAGGGCTGGTTCAGAAGAGGGATCCTTAAGTGGTGCCACAGGACAAGCAATGAATAATCACAATAATCATAATTAATCACAGTAATCCCCATTATTTTGAAAAGATGCCACCCAGGCTGTGCTGTGCAGGAGGAAAGAAGAGATCCTGTGCCAACATCTAACATTTAATGTATAATTCAGACATGGGTGGGTTTTGATCCTGCATCCCAGAGCACATCCACGGGCTCCAGAGATTCCACGTGCTCTCATCCTCTAGAAATGCCTTCCCTGGCTGCCACTGGAAAGGAAATTTTTCCTTCCTGGCATGAGCAGGGCTCTGCCTGCTCTGGAGCCAATGCACACACGCTCTTATTCCTGCAGGAGGAAGGGGTATGGAACGGAGGAACCGGGATGGGACGGGGAATAGCCTCCATCCCACAGGGGTGCTGAGGATTCCCAAGTGGGAGTGTGATGGAGCCAGGCACACAGACCTTGGATTTACTGCCTGATTCCCAGAAACACTGCCTGAGCTGGCCAGGAACTTTCTCAGAGGCCACGTCAGAAAATGAAGCAATATTCTAAATATCAACCTCTGCCGTGCCCACTCTGTCAGGAAGAGCTGGATCTGTTCCCCCAAATCCGCTCTAAACTGGGTGCACTCCTAAAGGCTCCACTGGGCCACAGGAACCTGGGTTTGTTCCCTCCAAGATCTGCACCCTTTTCCTGGGAATGCTGATGTCAGGGCCTGCTGTGTCAGGCCTGTGGGATCCTGCCCTGCAGCTCCAGCCCGTGCCCATCCCTGGGCAAACATCCCCATCCTTTGTCATACAAAAACCCAGCCACGAGACCCCGCGGGGACAAACAGCCCCACTTGAACCCACTTGTTCCCCGGGCATTATCTCATTCCATTTCATGGCTGAGTGAACTTCTCAGGAAACCAGAGCTCCTGAGCACCTCCAGGTGCTCCAGCTCCCTCCTTTCCCTGCATTCTGGCTGTGTAAGGCCAGGGAATTGCGCTCCATCCCCCAGGAGTGATTCGGGAACGCGGAATGGTCGGTGCGGGATCGGGGACGTGCAGCAGGACACGTTCCCTGCCCCGCTCCCAGGCACGGCCTCATCCCCGAGCCCATCTCTGGAACGAGAGGAAACAACCACCCAAAGTCACCTTCCTCCTTCTACCTGTGCTGCACAAAGAGGAATTCAAGCCTGTGGGCTGGGATGTGCAATTCCCTGCCTCAGGCAAGCCTGGGGAGCCCTGGAAGGCAGCAGCGAGCAGGGAAGAAAACCAAAGTCTGTAATTCCTCCTGTCCTTGGGGGCTTCTTTTGCAGGAATCTTTGGAGCTGAAGACTGGGAGCAGAAAAAAGGGGTTCTTGTTCCCATTCCTACCTCCAAAACTCCGAGCATCCCACAAATCCCTTCCCAGCCTCAGTCACGCACTGAGGTTGGGATCTTCCGAGGAAGGTGCTCCGCAGGAGGGGCTGGATTGGGAAAAAATGGACTAAAAATAGTGATTATTGCTCAGACTCACCCCTGGATAAAACAGATGAAACACTGGAATTCTGTGAGTCAAGGTAAATTGCCTAATGAGACAGGATTTATAGGAATATGCATTAATTATGGGTCACAGGAGAAGGGAAAAAAGGTTTTCCCAAGTGTCCAACAGCATTGCAAAGTCACCAATCCACAGCCCAGGGAAACATAAACTCATCCCCAATCTCATTAAATTTTAGAAGAAAATTTCAATTATTCAATTAGCAAGTCCAATTTATTTAGTTTGCCTTGAGACTTAAAATAATTTTTCTTTTAAAGATGCTTTGTAAAATTGTATTTCAAATATGTCACGCTGCAAACAGAAAGCTGAAAACTGGAAAAATTACAGTTTGGGGTTTAAAAAAAAAGAAATTAAATCCTGTTTTGCCATTTGAGAGAACAAATTAATTTTCACATAGAAGGCAGACAAATGTTTAAGCACATTTAAATTCAAAGCATACGGTTTATTTATTACACATCACAGTAATTAAACAAAAACCACCATGTTCCTGGTACTTTTTAAACGCTGCAATGCTTGAAGCCTGATTTCTTATTTTCCCCCTGCCAATCTATCGTGACCCTCTATTTTTCCGGGGGGAAGCAGCAGATAAAACTTGAATTTGGGGAGTTGCTTTTATTTCCCCCTCCCAGTCACAATTAGAAGGCTGAACTCCGCGGATAATTAAAATCAAATGCTCCCAAGAAATGCTGGAAGAGCAGGGCTGGCTCGGAAAGGGACAGCTTAAACCGACGGGTGAGATTTTGGGGGTCACCCTCCCTTTTTCCCCCATCCAAAGGCTCACCCCGAGGTGCCGCATCCTCCTCCGGCCGGGACCTCCCGGGCGCTTCCCGGTGCTCGGGATGGAGCCCGCAGCGGGAAGGCTGCGGGAAAAGAGGAGGGACAGTCGAGGAGGGGACACGGAGGGTCTCGTGTCGCTTTTTTCCAGCGATTCCCCGATTTCCTCCGTTATTCGCCCGTTGGAGAGACCGGGGCCGGAGCGACGCGCTCGGGGCTGCGGGAGCGCCCGGCCCGGGGGCACCGGGATGGGCTACGGGGGACACACAGGGAGTTCAGCCCGCCCGGCCACGCACCGACCGCCCCGAAAACACCTGGAAAAAGGGATTTGAAATAAAATAAAATAAAATAAAACAAAATAAAACCGGCGGTCCCACGGCACCGCTCCGCCGTCCCGGAGCCGCTGCCGCTCCGCCACCCCCGTTCCGCGGCGCTGGGAAAAGGACGCGGCCGCTCCATCCCGCACCCGCTGCCCGGTACCCCGCTAGAAAACCGGGACCCGGCTGCACACCGGAGCGTGAAACACATCCCCACCGTCGGGGGGTCCCCGCCAGTACCGCGCGGCGGTGAAGCGCCCGGACGATTTGCAGCGGGAAAAGCACAGAGGAGCCGAAAGAGGCAGCCGGAGCAGGGAGCCGGAACAGCGGCGGGTGGCGGGCCCGGGCGGCATCCACCGGGACCAGGCGGCGGCGGGACCCCGGGCTGGCGGCGGCTCCGGCCGGCGGAGCGGGAGCTCTGAGGCGGCGGGCGGGCGGCACGGGCCCGCCGTGCGGAGCCACGCCCCTTATGCAAATCACAGCGCCCTCTCCGCCAATGGCGAGCGGCGGCGGAGGCGGGGCCGCTCGCCCTGCCCTTAAAGTAACTTGTTGCCAGGGGCCCCGTTTCGCACTGGACGTGGGGCGCGGCGCGGGCAGCGCGGGGCAGCGGCGGCAGGACCGGCTGCGGAGCGGGGGGTGTAGCGCGGATTTTGAGCTGAGTTTTGAGCGTTTTGTGTCTTTTTTTCCTTATCGAACTTATTGCTTTTACTTATTTTTCCGCGGCGCCCCGCGGAGGGTGCGCGGCCCCCCCTCCAACCCCGGGCGGGCACAGCGCGCGGCCGGCCCGGCTCTGCCGCCCGCCGATGCTCAACATGACCGAGGAGCACGACAAAGCGCTGGAGGCTCCGTGCAGCCCCGCGGGCACCACCAGCTCCATGTCCCACGTGGACTCGGACTCGGACTCGCCGCTCTCCCCCGCCGGCTCCGAGGGGCTGGGCTGCGCCCCCGCGCCCGCCCCGCGCCCGCCGGGCGCCGCCGCGCTGGGAGCCAAGGTGGACGCGGCCGAGGTGGACGAGCGCTTCCCCGCCTGCATCCGCGACGCCGTCTCGCAGGTGCTCAAGGGCTACGACTGGAGCCTGGTGCCCATGCCCGTCCGCGGCAACGGATCGCTCAAAGCCAAGCCGCACGTCAAGCGGCCCATGAACGCCTTCATGGTGTGGGCGCAGGCCGCCCGCAGGAAGCTGGCGGACCAGTACCCGCATCTGCACAACGCCGAGCTCAGCAAGACCCTGGGCAAGCTCTGGCGGTGAGTCCCGACCCGACCCCCGCGCCGCGTCCTCCGCGGGGCTGCGCGGCCGGACTCCCCCTCCCAGCGCTGCTGTAAAGCTTCTGCCCGCTTTGTTTTTGTTACTCTGGGGTTCTCGGAGCCATCCCAAGGGAGGTACCATCCCCTCCCCGAGCATCCCGGCGCGCCGCGAAGGACACAGCGGCCCCTGCTCCGAAAAATCCCCCGTGAAGGGGCTTGGGCACCCTCGCTCCTGCCGCGGGTGGATTTTCCCTGCTCCATCTCGGAGATGCACAAGCCCTTCCCTTGCCTGCGGCTTCTCCATTCCCACGCGATGAGACTTTTTAATGACTTGTTTTATGGTTTTTCCTAATTTCTTTTTCTTTTTGGCTCGCTTGATGCTTTACAAGCTATAAACGCAGCTAAACTCATTTTTTAGCAGTTATTTTAACGAGCTTCCTAATTTCCCTGCTTATCTGCTCAGTGCTGCCCGGGGATGCAAACTTTTATTTGCTGAGCAGCATCCGAGCCCGCTTTGCTTTCCAAGGCTCTTCCCCGAGCCACTTTTCTCCGTGTGGTTTATCCCGTGGTGTCTGCCTGTACCTAATTCCCATCTTTTCCTGCCCGCTCGGGCCAGCGATGCTCCCGCTGCGGTTTGAGCCTCTCCAAGAGTTTGCAAAGAGAGGTGTGGGCAGGGGGCAGAGAGTTTGGAAAGCAATAATCCCATCCCTGGTGCCTTGGTGGTTTCTTTGTAAGCACCAAACAAAGCTGGAAATGTTTGCGGCGGTGAGGGGGTGGCATTTGCAGGGCAAACATGGGAATTGTGTTTTGTAATTGTGTTAGAAATGTGGAAGGGGGATTTTGTTTTGCCCAGTTACCCCGTCCATAGTGGTCGGGTTTTTCATGCTGCTGTAGTTGGTATTTTAATCCATTTTTTTTTGCCGTGGATTTTAACTCCTTTTTACCACAGCAAATTAATTTTGTAGTTAACTTGCCGAGTGCTCGGATCCGCGCATGGGAAGTGGGGATGTGCGAGTCTAAAAACAAGAAGAAAACTTCTAAGGAAAAGATCCTAATTTTGGCTTTTTTATTTTTTTCCCCTCTCTTCCTCACTAAAACAACCAACCCCCCCCAAAAACCAGTTTATTGAGCGAGAACGAGAAACGTCCCTTTGTGGAGGAAGCCGAGCGGCTCAGGGTGCAGCACAAAAAGGATCACCCGGATTACAAATACCAGCCCCGGAGGAGGAAAAGCGTCAAAGCCGGGCAGAGCGACTCGGACTCGGGGGCTGAGCTCAGCCACCACGCCGGCACTCAGCTCTACAAGGCCGACACGGGGCTGGGGGGCATGGCCGACTCCCACCACCACGGCGAGCACGCAGGTAAAGGGCGGCATTCCCGCTGATCCCCGTGCCCTGGCGGGTGGGATGCGATCCCGCTGCTTCCCACCCTGCAGGAGTTGTTGTCCCATGAGCTGTGCTTGGGAGTGTGGCCGTGGTTTTCCTTAGTGAGTGCTCTTAGAGCTGGCTGTCCCATAGGGAATGCCAAAGCACCGGGATCCCAGTGTCCCTGCATGGGGAGCATTAATTATTCTGGGCTAATTATTTGTATGGTAGGCTAATAAGGGTGCCTGGGGAGTAGGGTCCCGGGGCAGAGCTGCTGGGAATTGGCGTGCTGACAGATTCTGGAAGCGCTGTGAATGTCCTGCAGCCTCAGACCCTGCTGGGATCATGGCCCTGGCTCCCTCTGTCTCGGGACCCTGAGGGAGAGCATGAGCTCCATTCACTCTGTGAATGCACCCTTGGTGGGAGTTGGTGCTGCCAGGGTGTCCTGCTGTGTCCCACAGTGATCCTGATGGGCTCCCAGCTTCATCCCATGTCCCATGTGGGAGGCTCATCCCAGGGGGGACGCGGTCACAGGGGTGGACGTTCCCTGTCCGACACGGTGCCGCAGATTTAAATCCCCAAAGAGAGCGATAGCAGACAGGTGAAACCCGTTTATTGAACGGTGAAGGAGTCGGGTGTTCTGTGGTCACTGCTGAAACCTCGCTGTCCCTCCATCCCCAGGCCAGCCCCACGGACCCCCCACGCCGCCCACCACCCCCAAAACCGACCTGCACCACGGCGGCAAGCAGGAGCTGAAGCACGAGGGCCGGCGCCTGGTGGAGAGCGGCCGCCAGAACATCGACTTCAGCAACGTGGACATCTCGGAGCTCAGCAGCGAGGTCATCAACAACATGGAGACCTTCGACGTGCACGAGTTCGACCAGTACCTGCCCCTGAACGGCCACGCGGCGCTGCCGGCCGAGCACGGTGCCGGGGCCGCCTCCTCGTACGGCGCCTCGTACGCGCACTCGGGCGCGGCCGCGCAGGTGTGGACTCACAAGAGCCCGGCCGCGGCCTCGCCCGCAGCCCCCGAGCCGGGCCAGCAGCAGCGGCCTCACATCAAAACGGAGCAGCTGAGCCCCAGCCACTACAGCGAGCAGCAGCCCCACGGCTCCCCGGCGCACTCCGACTCCTACGGCTCCTACGGCGGCCAGGCCTGCGCCACCTCGGCCGCCCCGGCCGCCACCGCCGCCGCCTCCTTCTCCAGCTCCCAGTGCGACTACACGGACCTGCAGAGCTCCAACTACTACAACCCCTACCCCGGCTACGCCTCCAGCCTCTACCAGTACCCCTATTTCCACTCCTCGCGCCGCCCCTACGCCACCCCCATCCTCAACGGGCTGTCCATCCCACCGGCGCACAGCCCCACCGCCAACTGGGAGCAGCCCGTCTACACCACGCTGACCAGGCCTTAAAGGATTCCCCGAGCCTCCCGAGGCTCCCCTGGAATTATGCACTAATGAAGGAATGAGGAGGAAGAGCGTGGAGTGTTCCAAAGTGCCTCCTGAGCCGCTGGGAACTTTCTGCTGGTCGCCACCTTGCTTCGAAACTCCCACCCCCCCCCCCTGAAAGGACAGAGCTCTGTTCTTTTTTTTTTTTTTTTCTTTGATTCGTAGGATTTAAGTAATTCAAAAAAACTAAAAAAAAAAAAACAACCCACCAAACAAAGGACAGAAAATGTAAAAAAAAAAAAAAAGCAGCAAGAGGTAAAAATAAAAACAAAAGGAAAAGGACCAGCGATGCCTTTTGAGTAAATGAAGGACAAAATGTTGGACTGAGCCGAACTCGCTCGGCCTGGAAGTTTGGCCAAGTGCAAAATGTGGAGAGAGAGAGGTGGGGGGGAGACAAAACAACAACAAAAAAGCTGTTTGAGACTTTCAGGGTCTATTGCAATGTGAGGAACGGACCAACCTTGAGGGCAGGAACTCACTGGGACCAACAGGGATGAGCCCCGAAATCCCAGAAAAATCCCGTGGGAAGAGTCTGATGGGACCAACCAATTCAGTGTCTGAAGTGTTTGTTGACTTATTTTATTTTTTTTTTTTAGTCAGGAGTTCTTCTAAGCAAGGTTTGGCTGTAATTAACATTTTGTTTTGGGGTTTTTTTTTTTGTTTTTGGAAGCTTCAAATGTTTTTGGTTTTGTTTTTTTTTTTTAATCTGTTAAATATGTATTTATGTTCTGTATTATTTTGTCTTTTAATTAATGAAGTCATTTTGTGCAAAACAAAAAAAAAAAAGTAGAATTTTTAAAAGATTTTAAAGATGGGGGAGGGAGCCTAAAAAAATAGTGGAGATGATCCAATAAACTGGTGTTTTGAGTCTATAGATTTTCCTTGGTTTTTGGGTTTTTTTCATTTTGGAACTGCTGCAGGAGCCGTGCTGGAGAGAGGGACTGAAGGAATCTGCCTGGAAACTCCAATGGGAATGTCAAATAACGAGGGGGGGAATTACTAACTCAACTGGGAGGCTCAAATGCTGCCTGAAAAGGGCAGGTGATTTTCTGGCCACCTGTTTTGGGCCGTTAAAATCGGATTTCAGGAGTCTTTGGAGGCTTTCAGAACCAGGACTACTTTAAAGGAGCTGTAATTCCACGAGAAACGAGCGACTTCTGCTTTAATTTTGGCTTCTAGGGACCAGATATCATCCATCAAGCTGTGAAACTAAAATCTCCTCCACTAAAAAAATGGGTTTAGGGTACTTAGTTTTTAGACTAATATTTCATTGATATATTTCTACTTCTTCCATTGTATGCTGAGCATATAAATAACCATCTATTTTATGGGAACTCGTGCCTTTAAAAGCCTTTGTAAATCTAAACCCACCTTTCAGAGGTTATTCATCTTTTTACCTTTTCTACGTTTCCTACTCTTTTTTCTAAAAAATATTTTTTTGCATATTTCCTTTCGTGGCGGGGGAGGGAGGGACACGCTGGGCTGGGGGAAAAGACAAAAAAAGCTCATTTTTATGCAATCTATTTTTCTGTATAAAGTTTGAAAGACTTTTTGGTTGTTACTGATCTGTTCTCTTCACTCGCTTCTGACTAAGCAATGCTAACTTTTGTACAGATCCATTTGATAAAATTAAAAAGTGCTTTTTATCAAGGACGTGTTCTGTTTTCTTTCTGCTTGAGCCTGTTTTCTGTGCCTGGGAAAAAAAAAAAACTGGGAAAACAGCTTGGAAGGCGATGGAATCTTCAGAATAAAATATTTTCATCAAGGATTTATTTCCCTTTTAGTCTGGAATTTTTTTTTTCCTCGCTCCTTTTCCCTGTGCTTTTTGTGTTTCTTTGCAGTTTTTTTTTGAAATACAGATAAATTAATTTGATTTTTCCTTTAAGAAGGGCATTTCCATGCCCATAATCCTAAGGATTTCAGAGGATTTCAGGCTGCTCACAAGAGGCCGGGTTTGCAAGGCTTTAGCCCCAGCTGATTTTCCTTCTGTAGGGAATTTACAGGAAGAAATTCCCTTTTCTGCTTGCTGAGCCCTGGTGCATAAATCCCTCTGAGTTAGGAGAGCAACCAAATTACACGTTGCACGTCAGGCTTGGTGTATTTCGTTTTTCAACACGGTCATTAACGTTGTTACATCTGTAACTTTTATTTTGCTTTCTTGCAGCAAACATCCCCTCCCTGTCCTGCTTTTGTCTGCTCAGGCAGCAAAGGGGATCCCAACCTGAGAGGAGGAAAAACCAAAACAAAATTGGGATTGGGGAATTCCAGCCCTCCGTGCTTGGGAGAAGAGGCTGGAAGAAGAAGGGGGATAAAAGTGATGACAATTAATGAAGCTGCAGCCCGTGGAGGAGGGCTGGGGAGCAGAATCCCGGGCGGAATTTGGTGTTTGCAGCCTCTGCCAAGAGGGGCTGGAAGGCGACACCATTTTCTCCGTGCTCCTTTCCAGAGCTCCTGGCAGGGGGATTTCATCCCAGCCGGAGCCAAAGTGCAGCGTAATTCCCTTCCCTTCCCTCCTCCTCCCGTGACTCTGCAGATTTCCCTGATTTTAATCCTGATTTATGCCTGGAAAATGGAAGAGTTTTGGCTCTGCCCTCCAGGCTGGGGTTTGCCTCCAAACCAGCACGCTGTGAGGGGGAAAAGGAAATAAAAGGTGAGGTGGGAATGGTTTTGGGGGTGATCTTTGCTTTCTGCTGGATGTTTGGTGGTACAGCTTGGAGGGGCTTCCTTGGTGGCTGATAAAAACAAAAATTAAAATATCCGTGTGAGATAAAATGGTCAATCACCCAAAAAAACTACATTAAAAAATTGAAAGTCACCCCAAAATATCAAAGATGGCACTGAAGCATGCCTGGTTCCTGGGAGAACCCAGGGAGGGGGCTCTGTGCATCCAGGATGGATCCCTGTCTCCTTCCCCTTCTCCCAGTGCCTCGTCCTTGTCCCAGCCAGGAGCTGCAGGGTGAGTGTGGAGCTCTCATCCCAAGGATTGCACTTCCCAGCCAGGCAGGTTCTAAATCCACTTCCTGTGGCTGCATTTGGTTTTGCTTCCCCTAAGCTTTGCGAAAATAAATTGAATTTTTACTGGCATTTACAGAAATAAGGTAATTGAATTGTATATCTGAATATAGATCTGTATTGTATTTTATGATGGAATTGGGGCTGGGAGGGATCCACAAGGATCATGCAAATCCAATCCTGGTTTTAGATATCATAATTCTATATTATAGATCCATTCCACAGGTCCAAGGGGCGATGGGAGCTCTGGAATCACCAGATCCTGGAATGGTTTGGGTTGGAAAGGACCTAAAAGCTCATCCTGGTCCCACCCTGGGCAGGGACAACTTCCACAGTCCCAGGATGCTCCTTCCAGCCTGGCCTTGGACCCTGCCAGGGCTGAGGTGCTGGAGAGCTCCTGAAGCAATTCCAGGGAGCAGCTCCAGGGGTTTTGAGGGGCTGGGGATGAAACTCAGGGATGTGGCAGAATGGATGTTCAGGAAGGAGCCAGGCAGGTAAAATGCAGCATCCTGGATAACCCAGGGCTAAAACTCAGGGTTTAAGGGGAGCTGGACGTCCCCAAGATCTCCCAAATTTCATTCCCTACTCCTCAGTTTACACTTCCTCTCGATTTCCCATTTGACAGGAAAACACAGATGAGTTTTTACCCCAAAAAAAGATAATTTTGATCAGAAATTACTGCCGCATTTCCACGTTTTGTCCTCCCCTTCCCTTTGCTGCTCAGGCTGAGGGAGGAGAAGGATTTTCCAGGAGTTTTCCAGGCTGAATGGCAGCATTGTGTGTCCCTGCTCGGGGCTGGTGGCTCTGCAGAGTCAATGAGATCAGGTGAAACCAGGGCTGCCTTTTGACCCCTGGCTGCCAACAAAAAAGGCTTCTCAAGATAATTGCAGGAATCCACGGGTGAGAAAAGTCCCTCCATTTTATTTCTGGAAGTAGGGAATAAAGAGTGTTGCTGTTTAGCTCAGACAGTGCTAGTTAGCAAGAAAGAGGAAATTAATTTTATAGACCATATCCACATTCTTTTCTGCAGGCTGGAAAAAGAAGTCCCTTCCCATCCTCCTTGTTTTAATTTTTTCTGGAGTGACATCAACTCCTGTTGAATTTTTTTTTCTTTTTTTTTTTTGTAGACTTGCAAAGAAATGATTAAAAGGCATTTTCATGACAGCCTTGAGCTTTAATAAACTTCCACACAGGGATGTCCCTGCCCCTGCATCGACCTCTTCCCTCTGCCACCTTTATATTCCCAGGGCTGTATCTTCTCTGTGCCTGGGATTTGGGGAAAAAAATAATAATAATAAAAAAAAAGAAATAAAGAAATATAAAATAAAAATGCCTGGAGATGTGATGTCATTTGGGATACAGGAAAAGCCTTTTCCAGCTGATCCTGGGAGGGCAGAGCTTCCCTGCCAGAAGGATTTGGGAGCAGGAGAGGCACATCTGAGCCTGTGAGAGGGTTTTGGTGGCCATGAGAAGGTTTTGGTGGCCATGGGTGGGTTTTGGTGGCCATGGGAAGATTTTGGTGACCATGGGAAGGTTTTGGGGGCCATGGGTGGGTTTTGGTGTCCATGGGAGGGTTTTGTGGCCATGGGAAGGTTTTGGTGGCCATGGGAAGGTTTTGGGGGCCATGGGAGGCTTTTGGTGGCCATGGGAGTGTTTTGGTGGCCATGGGAGACTTTTGGTGACCATGAGAAGGTTTTGGTGGCCATGGGAGGGTTTTGGTGGCCATGGGGAGGTTTTGGTCACCATGGGAAGGTTTTGGTGGCCATGGGAGGCTTTTGGTGGCCATGGGTGGGTTTTGGTGGCCATGGGAAGGTTTTGGTGGCTACAGGAGGGTTTTGGTGGCCATAGGAGGGGTTTTGGTGGCCATGGGAAGGTTTTGGTATCCATGGGAGGGTTTTGGTGTCCATGGGAGGGTTTTGGTGGCTACGGGAGGGTTTTGGTGGCCATGGGAAGGTTTTGGTGGCCACCTGAGGAGGTGGCACTGCAGTGACCCCAGCCCTGTCCCCACAGAGCTGGGCTGAGCTTCCCTTTGGGAACCTTTAAGGAAACTCCAACGCTGCTGGAAAAGCCTTCAGGGCCCTGAGTTTGGATTGAGGGCCCTGAGGGAAAATTCCTAAACACGAACTGACCAAGGGCTCCCAAGCCCCTTTGAGGG